AAATGAAAACACTTTTAATAAACAAAATTATTTGATTTTTATAATAGTTTTCTGTTAACAATTACAGCAGTTTTAATTATATTTCTACTCTATTATTATTATTTACTGTTTGTGTGCTGTAATGTCTAAACTTTACAGCTTTACAGATCTACAGTGCATAGCAATCAATGATATTTCCCATATTTTAAAACATATTAACTTTTTATATTGAAATTACTAAAATTCAAAAAAAGGACGCGTCCTTTTTTACTCTGTTTTCAGAGGTCGAGAAAAGGACAAAACCCATAAAAAGGACGTTCTGGTCACCCTAGTTGGAGGGCGCCTCACATCAGATCATCGATAAGTTTAAGTGATTTTACTTTATAAAATTTACATTGGGTAATTGTTTTTTTTAGATTTTTAAATGTTTAATAAATTATTATGAATAATAATAATGTATGGATAATATATGGAATTAAAGATTAATTAGTTTACTGATACTGGCGATAATTATTCCGAGAGCAAGGTTAATTTGCAGCGAGGTAACTACGATATTCAGGACAACACTGGCACCAGCCCTAAAGTAACTGGATTTAAGGTATGCACAGTTACTTAAATTACTGATCATAGTGTTATTTCATTAATGTATGTTATTTGTTGCTAACAGATTTATCGTATTGCCAAAGCGGGCATTGGTGGCTGTCATAATACCATCATGAATAACAAGTGCAATGGCATACCGGCCTGCAGTCAGATATACTTATTTCCACTTGCTGTCAAAGTATGTTTCAGATATTGACAATAACTATCGTTATATTTTTTACAACTTGATAACTACAGTAATTTAAGGTGAAGTAATTTATAGCATATAATTGTTTTATGTTTTTATTATTTGTTTAATATAATTTGGTATTATTTCCGTTACCAGTAACAATTGCATATATAATTTGTAATTTTTCCAAGTTTAATTATTATTAGGGTTAAGTAAAAATAATAAATAGTAAATTAAGGGGGAATATATTCCATTTATAAAAATTGTTATAAGCATTATTATTTAAATGTTATAAAAACATTTCAATTACAGTTTTATTCAATTATTTAATTTTAGAACTTATAATTTATTAGTCATGACTTTTTTGATCCAACAATTAAATTCAGAGTTAGTTAATAATTTACATAAATAATTAGTTTAGTGCAGTTAACAATCAATTTTTTTAACAATATTAATAATTAATTAGTCAAAGTTAAACTTGTGATGGAACATTTTAAAGTTGCATATTCTGGAAATTAATAAAAATAACAATTAATAATCAGGAATTTAATTAGTAGGCGGATATAAAATGCAAACAATTAATATAACTTAAATCAAAACAACTACATGTATAAACAAACATTAATTGTTGTACAGTATTGCTCACAATTGTCATAGTAAAACAAATCTTAAAAAAGAATATAAGTACTTCAATTAATAGTACTATGTGCATTTGTAAATGTTACATTTAAAATGTACTAATGTGAATAAAATTATAAACTTTATAATATAAACTTGACAAAGTTCAGTTGAAATTAATAAAAGCCTTTAAAAATTTACAATAGTTATTGTTATATTAATTTTGAGAAATCTATATTCTAGATTATTACAATAATTTTTATACGTTCCTAAAACATTGTTTTTATCATGATTTAACACGACTATTATAATTTAAACGACACACTTCTTTAATAAATAGTAGTGCAAAATGATTGTGTAAAGTGTAAAGATTATTAATACAATTGATTCAATTAAAAAATCACAAAGGTTTGTATAAATTGAGTACTTTTAGAGTTTGTTTGTAGTGCAAGTAATTTTGTATATAAATAGAATGTATTTAGTTTAATAAATTTATAAATATTTAATAATTTTATAATAAACAATGAAAGTGTTGTGGTTGTTATCGTTATTGTATTTAACGATTAATTCATTGCCAGTCAATGAGTTTACCGGTAAAAAGTGGGTTGTATTAGTAGCTGGGTCATATACAAAGCTGGTACAGATACAGTAGCTAGGTCTGTACTTGGGACAATTATAGACATCAAGTAACTCTACCTTGCTCTCTCTCTCTCTCTCTCTCTCTCTCTCTCTCTCCAAATAATTTATTAATTTTTAACCCTAAAGGCCGACATATATACCACGCGTAACATTTAGTGAAAGAAAACGGCATTCCCGATGAAAACATAATTGTCATGCATTACGACGATATCGCTTACAATGAGAAAAACATATTCCCGGGAAAAGTATACAACAGGCCGACCGGTCATAACGGCACTGATGTCTATCCGGGAGTACCCAAGCATTACACCGGCGAAGACGTTAACCCAGAAGTAAGTATTGGTTTAATTTTATTAATTTTAATAAAATTATAAATTATATTATTTTAAAGAATTTCCTAAAAGTATTGGCCGGAGACGAGGGACTGAAAAAAGCCGGTAAAAAAGTACTGGAAAGCGGACCAAATGATCACGTGTTTGTGTTTTTCGATGACCATGGTGCTCCTGATATAATATGCTTTCCCCATAAGGCTTTAAAGGCAATGGATTTGTTAAATATTTTAAAACAAATGCACCATGATAAGAAATACGCTAAACTTGTGGTTTATATTGAAGCGTGCTTTTCAGGTATGTTAATAAATATCTTATTATTATTTTAGAAAATATAAATAAATGATTGTAAATATTTGTATGACCAGGTTTAATGTTTTACAAAATACTACCCACCGATATTAACATATACGCCACCACAGCAGCCAAACCTGATGAGGGTAGTGATTGGTGTTATTACGATGAAGACATTAATAATCATGTTGGTAAAGTATACTAAAAAATTTAAGTTATCCAATACTATAAATATGCTAATTATCTTATAGGCAATACATGTAGTGTTAATTGGATGGAGAATACAGAGTCGGCCACAAATGATACGACATTTCAGGACCAGTTTGATTACATTAAGTTACATACGCCCAACTCTACCGCACAACAATATGGTGATTTATCAATTGCCAAACTACCAATCTCACTATTTTTAGGCAAGTTTGTATTTTGTAATTTGTAGTTTTTAATTTATTTAATACTTGTTAATTTTAATTAATAAAAATGCAAATAATTCTAGGCTTGAGGAAAACACCCAAACCATTGTCACCAATAAATGCAAATATTGGCAATAATTTTGGCAGTAATAGAGACGCGCCGTTAGTGTTGGCCCAACGAAGCGGTGATTTTGAGAGATATCAACAATTAGTGACCGGAAGACAGTTTGTGGACAATATGTTCAGTGAATACGTGAATAGTATTCAACACTTAATGAACGCAAACA